AACAAACCAGCTTGGCGAGCCAACCAACCTCAACACCCACAACCTGAGCTACAGATCTACCCAAAACCTTAGTATGCCTTCTAGTTTAGGATTCTCCTACCCTGGGGAACAGGCCTTGGCAGCTCACCTTATCTATGCCCCTCAGGATTTTATAAACCTCTATAAGCCAACACCTCAGCCTCCCAACCTTTCTAGCTAGATTGAGAAAGAGTATGGGGCATATGGGAGAAGCGAAATTCCTGCATTGTGCGCAGGAGATAATTCTGGAACTGTGCAATTCCAGTCCTACCAGGGAAGGAACTGTGCTGGATCTAGTCTTAAGAAATGAGGTAATCCGAGTGAGAACGTCACTGTGGTAGGCATTTGGAAAATAGCAATTATAACATAATACGGTTCCATATTATGTTGAAAAACATAAAAATCAGTAAATTATTAAAATTAGCTATCTTATCTATGCAGTTTCAGTAACATCCTTGTAAATCGTTTTTGTGCCCTTTCCAGTTTAATAACATCTTTCCTACAGTAGTGTGATCAGATTTGTATGCTGTATTCTAAATGTGCCCTTACCAATGTCTTGTGCAGCTGTGACATGATGTCCCAACTCCAGTAGTCAATGCTCTAACTGATGAAGGCAAGCATACCAAACACCACCTTCACCACACTGTCTACCTATATTGCCACTTTCAAGGAACTGTGTACCTGCACCACTACGTCTCTGTTTGACAACACTTCCGAGGGCCCTACCATTAACTATGTTAGACCTGCCCTGGTTTGTCTTGTCAAAAATGCAGCACCTTGCACGTATCTGAATTAAACTCTACTAGCCACTCCTTGGCCAAATTGATCAAAATCACATTGTTCTCGTAGAGTCATAGGGTAATATAGCATGGAAACAGGCCCTTCAGCCCAAACTGGTGCATGCTGACCATGGCGCCAGCTAGTTCCAATTGCCTACATTTGATCCATATCTCTCTCAACCCTTCCCTTATAGATGTCATATACCTGGATTTCAGTAAGGCATTTGATAAGGTTCCCCATGGTAGGCTGATGGAGAAAGTGGAGTCGCATGGGGTCCAGGGTGTACTAGCTAGATTGATTGATGGAGAACTGGCTGGGCAACAGGAGACAGAGAGTTGTAGTGGAAGGGAGTTTCTCAAAATGGAGAACTGTGACCGGGGTGTTCCACAGGGATCCGTGTTGGGACCACTGTTGTTTGTGATATACGTAAATGATCTGGAGGAAGGTATAGATGGTCTGATTAGCAAGTTTGCAGACAACAAAAAGATTGGTGGAGTAGCAGATAGTGAAGGGGACTGTCGGAGAATGAAGCAGAATATAGATAGATTGGAGAGTTTGGCGGAGAAATAGCAGATGGAGTTCAATCCAGGCAAATGCGAGGTGGTGCATTTTGGAAGATCCAATTCAAGAGTGAACTATACGGTAAATGGAAGCCCTGGGAAAAATTAATGCACAGAGAGATCTGGGTGTTCAGGTCCATTGTACCCTGCAGGTGGCAACACAGGTGGATAGAGTGGTCAAGAAGGCATATGCATGCTTTCATACATCAGACAGGGTATTGAGTACAAGAGTTGGCAGGTCATGTTACAGTTGTATAGGACTTTGGTTCGACCACATTTGGAATACTGGGTACAGTTCTGGTCACCACATTACCAAAAGGATGTGGATGCTTTGGGGAGGTGCGCACGATAGCGTCATTTAAGATGTATCTGGACAGATATATGAATGGACAGGGAGCAAAGGGATACAGATCCTTGGAAAATAGGCGACAGGTTTAGATAGAGGATCTGGATCGGCGCAGGCTTGGAGGGTCGAAGGACCTGTTCCTGTGCTGTAATTTTCTTTGTTCTTTGTTCCCATCCATGTACCTATCCAAATTGTTTTTAGATGTTGCTGTTGTACCTGCCTCAACCACTTTCTCTGGCAGCCTGTTCCATAAACACACCACTCTCTGCGTGAAGAAGTTGCCCCTCAGGTCCTCCTTAAATCTATGCCCTCTAGTTTTCAATTCGCCATCCCTGGGAAAAAAAGACCATATGCATTCATCCTATCTATGCCCCTCGTGATTTTATACCCTTCAATAAGATAGCACTCTCCTCATTCTCCTGCGTTCCAACGAATAAAATCCTATCTTGGCCAACCTCTCCCTATAACTTAGGACTACTAGTCCTGCCATCATCCTTGTAAATCTTCTTTCACTTTCCAGTTTTAACTATGTCTTTCCTATAACAGTGACCAAGACTGTACACAATACTCCAAGTGCGACCTCACCAACGACTTATATAGCTGTAACATAGCATCCCTGCTCCTATACTCAATGCCTTGACCAATGAAGGCCAGCATGCTAAATGCCGCCTTCACCACCCTGTCCACCTGTGATGCCACTTTCAATTAACTTTGTGCTTGTATTCCTAGGTCCCTCTGTTCCACACCACTCTGCAGGACCTTATCATTTACTGTATAAGTCCTACCTTGGTTTGACTTTCCAAAACCCAAAATCTCATACTTATCTGTATTGAATTGTATTTGCCAGTCCTCAGGCCACTTCCCCATCTGATCAAGATCCCTCTGTAATTTTTGATAACCTTCCCCGCTATCAATGATCCCTCCTAATTTTGTTTCATCTGCTAACTTACTAATCATGCCTTGTGCATTCACATCCGGATCATTTATGTAAATGACAAATAACAAAGGTCCCTGCACTGACCCCTTTGGCACACCACTGGTCACAGGCCCCCAGTCTGAGAAACAATCTTCAACCATCACCCTTTGTTTCCTACCATTGAGTCAATTTTGAATCCAATTAGCTAGCTTTCCCTGGATCCCATGCAATCTAACCTTCATTACTTGCCTGCCATACGGAACTTTGGCAAGGCCTTACTAAAGCCCATGTAGACAACATCTACCACCCTAGCTTCATTTATCCTCTTCGTCACCTGTTCGAAAAACGCTAAAGGATTTGTCAGACATGACTTCCCCTGCACAAATCCATGCTGACTATCCCTAATCAGACCTTGACTATCCAAATGTTGGTTGTTCCCTGGCTTGTCCTTCTTAAACAATGGGACAACATTAACCACCCTCCAGTCTTCCAGAACTTCTCCAGTGGCTAAGATAACCACCTTCACTGTCCACTGTCTAACTTTGATGTCATCCACAAATTACTAACCATGCCTCCTATATCCTCATCCAAATCATTCACATAAATGATGAACAACAGTGGACCCAGCACCGATTTTAGCGGCACAGTGCAGGTCACATCCTCCAGTATGAATAAGAACCCTCTCCCACCACCTTCTGTCTCCTATCATCAAGCCAATTTTGTATCCAATTTGCTAGCTCTCCCTGGATCCCATGTAATCTAACCTTACTAACTAGTCCACCACGCAGAACCTTGTCAAAGGCCTTGCTAAAGTCCATGTAGATACCATCTACTGTTCTATCTTTATCAAGAGTTTTGAAGGGCACAAATAGGCTGTATAGTTGGAGTCTTTTTCCCAGGGTGGAAATGTCAGATATTAGGGGACATAGGCTTACTGAGGAGGAATATTTAAAGGAAATGTGCAAGGGAAGTTTTTTTTTAACACAGGTGACTGGAATGCACTGGCAGGGGAGGTGGTAGAAGCAGATAGCAAAGTTAGACAGGCACATGTACAGGCAGGGAACAGAGGAATTCAGACCATGTGCAGGCATATGGGATTAGTTTGGAATAGCGTCAAGGTCAGCACAGACAAAAGGGCTGTTCCTATACCGTACTGTTCTAGGTTGATATAAAGTTAGTATGTCATAAAGTTAGCAAATACAATGAATCATTCGGAAGAAAAATGAATCTTGTCATTTGTTCAAAGGAAATGGAACAGAAAAGTTTGAAATTTTACTGCAACTGTATGGAACATGATATGACCACATCTAGAGTACTGTGAACAGTTTTGGTTGTCTTATTTGATAAGGAGCTTTAGAGACAGTTCTGATAAGGTTCACTCAAGTCATTCATTGGATGAAAGGATTATGTTGCAAAAGAAGTTTGAACAGGTTGGACCTGCATTCAGTGGAGTGGAAGAATGAGAGGTGATCTTATCAAAATATGTAAGGTCTTCAGGGAATTGGATAGGGTGGAGACGCAGAGAATGTTTCCTCTTGTGGAGGAGAGTAAACCTCGAGAACACCATTTAAGAATAAGAGGTCCTACTTTTCAGACAGAGGCTAGGCTACTTTATTTTTCTCAGAACATTATATGAATATGAAATTCTTTTTCCCAGAAGGTAGTGGAGGCAGGGTCTTTTAATTTATTCAAGGCTGAATTACATTTTTGCACGACAAGGTAATCACTGGTTATAGGGAGCAGACAGATGGAACTGAGACCACAAGAAGATACACTGTGATCTTATTGAATGGTGGAGCAGGCACAAACAGCTAAGTGGCCTACTGCTGCTCCTAAATTCTGTTAGATAATAAAAGCTGTAGGTTATTGGTGATAGACTTTCTTCAGTATTATGGCATCCACTAAAATTGCAAAGCAGGGAGGAAAAATCAAGGAGAGATACTGCCATTGTGTGAAAATAGATGAGCCTTTGTGGATAATAGCTCTTTGGTACTAGCATCTACGTTTCTAACAAATACTCATATCTCTTTGAATAGTAAACTACTTTGCGATGCAGGGAGTATGACATAAGTGTTTTCTTGTGTGTGCCAAATGAATTTAGGATTTATCCAGGCTCCCTTGAGAAACACGTTGCAACTAACCGGCCTCCCCACTGGGCTGTGGCACTCTTTTTACGTATCGCGGTCACTTTTTTGTTTGTAGTTCCCACTGTTTGAACTCTCTCTTTCACTTTCTGTTACTGTGTATGGAGTTGATCTTCTTTCGTCATCTAAATTTCTGTTATGAAGAGGCACCTCTGACAGTATTTCACTGAAGTAGTGGGAGGATTGGGATATGGATGACTATTACTTGGTAACAGTGTATTGTCTGCCTTACACAGAGCTGCGCTGTACTCCTGGACAGTTTGCATGTAATACTGGAACAATTCAGTGTATCCCTCTGACTTGGCACTGTGACGGCTGGCAGACCTGCGAAGATGGCAGCGATGAACTGGATTGTCCAGGTAAAGTATAAGCTGAGAGATTGTGTTATATGTGATTAGATCTGGAATTATCTCCTGTATGATTTTGTGTTGTATATAGATATACAAGTGCAAATTAAGTTGAGGTTTAGGGACTGCTTCGACCATATGTTTGCATTTCTCATTTCCTTTCCTCGTACGAACAAAGACCTAGTCTCAGTGGCTGCTGACCAATGTTCCTGAGAGTCATGGAAAACCTGAAAAAGTTCCAGGAATGTTCAAAATGATCCACAATTGTTGAAAAGTCAAGGAATTTTTTAAATTGGGTGAAATTTTTCCCGAATTTGGGCGGAATTCCAACCTCTTGCAATATTTTTCCAATACCAATCTCACCCTCTCCAGAAGTTTTATATACCATCTGCCATGTTCTGTTCACTCACTAAGCCAGTCCAAATCCTCCTGAAATTGCTTTACATCTTGCTAACAACATACATTCCTGATTAACTTCGTATTATCTGCAAATGTAAAAATATTGCATTTTGTCCCCAAGACCAAATCATTAATATATGTAAATGGACAGAGTATAGTGAACAAAATTGGGGAACTAGAAACAGAAATTGCCCTAGAGAGATTTGACATACTAGCAAACTAAAAAACGTGGCTCAAACCAGAGCAGGACAGGATACTTAACATTTTGGGTTATAAAGCTTTTAGTAGACGCACAATGGGTAAAAAGGGAGAAGTGTAGCAGTTTTGGTCAGACAGTATCATTGCCCTTGAATAAGTGCTATTCCTGAATTGGACTCTATATGATTTGAGGTGAGAAACAGGAAGGGAGCATTGACCTTGTTGGATTTTTATTATAGAACTCCAAATAGTGGGGAGAAAGTAAAAGAGAGCACTGTCCTGCAAATTTCCATCAAATGCCTGCAAATAGGGTTGTGATAGTGATTTCAATTACCCTCGGCTAGATAAGGAAAGAGCTGGAGGGCGTGGAAGGGGAGAAATTCCTGCAGTGTGTGCAGGAAAATTTTCTGGAACTGTACATTTCCAGTTTTACCAGGGAAGGAGCTGTGCTGGATCTAGTCTTAGGAAATGATAACATCAGTGTGATGGAGCATTTGGAAAGTAGCGATCATAACATAACAGGATTCCATATTAAGTTGAAAAAGATATCAAATGGTCAATGATTAAAATCCCAGACTGGAAGAGGGCAGATTTTAGGGTTCTAAAAGTTGACCTGGAACATCTTGATTGGAAACACAGTTTGGTGGATAAAAGCTGAATACAGAGAATTTCAAAAGAGAGATGAATAGGGTACAAGCTAGGTACATGTCCATCAGAAAATAAATATGGGGTATAAAGGCGAGAGTACCTGGGTGACTAAGGATATTGATGAGAAATGAAGGAGGAGACACGTAAGAAGTAGGAGCAGGAGTAGGCCATCTGGCCCCTGGATCCTGCCCCGCCGTTCAGTAAGATCATGGCTGATTTTTTTGAAACTCCGCTCCACTTACCCGCCCACTCACCATAACCCTTAATTCCTTTACTGTTCAAAAATTTATCGAGTCTTGCCTTAAAAACATTCAGCGAGGTAGCTTCAACCGCTTCACTGGGCAGGGAATTCCACAGATTCACAACCCTTTGGGTGAAGAAGTTCCTCCTGACCTCAGTCCTGCGTCTGCTTCCCTTTATTTTGAGGCTATGCCCCCTAGTCCTAGTTTCACCTGCTAGTGGAAACAACCTCCCTGCCTCCACCTTATCTATTCCCTTCATAACCTTATATGTTTCTATAAGATCTCCCCTTATTCTTCTGAATTCCAATGAGTATAATCCCAGCCTACTCAGTCTGTCCTCATAATCCAACCCTCTCAACTCTGGAATCAACCGAGTGAATCTCCTCTGCACCCCTTCCAGTGCTCGTGTATCCCTTCTAAAGTAAGGAGACCAAAACTGCACACAGTACTCCAGGTGTGGCCTCACCAGGACCCTATACAGCTGCAGCATAGCCTCCCTGCTTTTAAACTTCATCCCTCTAGCAATGGCAGACAAAATTCCATTTGCCTTTTTAATTACCTGCTGCACCTGCAATCCTACTTTTAGTGATTCATGCACAAGGACACCCAAGTCCCTCTGCACAGCAGCGTGCTGCAATTTTTTACCATTTAAAACATAGTCCATTTTGTTGTTATTTCTACCAAAATGGATGACCTCAACATTGTACTCCATCTGCCAGACCTTTGCCCACTCACTTAGACTATCTATATCCCTCTGTAGACTTTGTGTCTTCTGCACACTTTGCTCTACCACTCACCTTAGTGTCATTTGCAAATTTTGACACACCACACTTACTCCCCAACTCCAAATCATCTATGTAAATTGTAAACAATTGTGGTCCCAACATTGATCCCTGAGGCACACCACTAACCACTGACTGCCAACTTGAAAAACACCCATTTACCCCTACTCTTTGCTTTCTACTGGTTAACCAATCCTCTATCCATGCCAGTACATTACCTGTAATACTGTGCTACTTTATCTTATGTAGCAGCCTTTGGTGTGGCACCTTGTCAAATGCCTTCTGGAAATCCAGATACACCACATCCACAGGTTCCCCATTGTCCACCATGCAAGTAATGTCCTCAAAGAATTTCCACCAAATTAGTTAAACATGACCTACCCTTCATGAACCCATGCTGGGTGTTCCCAGTGGGACAATTTGTATCCAGATGTTTCGCTATTTCTTACTCAATGATAGATTCAAGCATTTTCGCCACTACCGAAGTTAAGCTAACTGGCCTATAGTTAACTGCTTTTTGTCTACTTCCTTTTTTAAACAGTGGCGTCACATTGGCTATTTTCTAATCTGCAGGAACCACCCCAGAGTCCAGTGAATTTTGGTACATAATTACTAGTGCATTGGCTATTTCCCCCATCACCTCTTTTAGTACCCTGAAATGCATTTCATCAGGGCCAGGAGACTTATCTACCTTTAGCCCCATTAGCTTGCCCAGCACTGCCTCCATTATGCATACTTGAATAATAATAGTAATAGAAATCAGAAAACGTGTCTCAAATGCAGGGCAGAGGCTAAGGATGGAATAAGGAACTAGGATGAAACATGAGGAACAGATGGCATGCTGCACTAAAACAAATAGTAGAATGTTCTTCAAATATATTTAATAGCAAAATATGAGTGAAGGATAGACAGGGCCCCTTAAGGAATAAACAGGGTGAACTGCTCACTGAAACAAAGGATATGGCAGAGGTACTAAATCAATATTTTGCTTCTGAATTTACCAAATTACAAGATGGTGACAACGGCCTAGTTGAAAATGTGTTGAGCAACTAAGCTGTATAGTGATAAAAAAGAGGTGCTGAAACAGCTAGCAGCACTCCAGCTAGAGAAAGTTGCCAGGCTTGGATAGGATGCATCCTCAATTGCTGAGAGAAGTATGGGAACCATTCGCAGAGCCATTGACAAAATGTTTTATGGTACCTCTGAACACAGGATCGGTCCTGGAGGTTTGGAGAATTGTAAATGTGACACCGTTATTTTAAGAAAGGAGCAAAGATAACCCAGGAAACTACAGACCTGTCAGCTTGATGTCAATATTGGCAAAACTAATGGAGCCCATAATACGGGTAACATAAATATATATTTTGGGGAAAAAATTAGTTACTATTACACAGTCTTTGGCTTTGTCAAGGGCAAGTCATATACGACAAATGTAATTGAATTCAATGGATGAGGATAGTGCTGCAGATGTTATATGTTTGGATTTTCAGGAAGCATTTGATATGGTGCTACACAGCAGATTGGTTAATTGGGATTGATGACTCTTTGGCAGCATGGATTAGAAGTTGTCTAGAAGAGAGGAAACAGCGGTTAGATATACAGCACATTTCTTAGATTGGAAGTGAATTGAAAGTGGTGTTCTCTAGGGATCAGTGTTAAGATCCTTGCTTTTTTCATTTTGAGACGGATGTTGAGGGCAAAATCTCTAAATTTGCAGACAAAACTAAGCTAGGGAGGCTAGTGAATCATGATGATGAAGCTGAGTGACTTGAGAGGGGCATTGACAAGTTGACAAATGGGTAGACACTGGCAGATGAATTTTAATGAGAGAGGATGCATTTGGCAGAAAAAACACAGTCACAATACAGACTGAATGGTACAACTTTGAAGGGAGTACAGGAACTGGGAGACTGCAGGGTTTACATGCATAATTCTCTGAAGGTGACCAGGCAAGTTGAAACAGTTGTTAAGAAGACTTGTAGGATACTTAGGCTTATAAATACTGGCATAGGGTATAAAAGCAAGGAAGTGATGCTACACTTGTACAATTCATTGATCAGACCACATTTGGAGAATGTGTTCAGTTCTGGACACCTTATTTAAGGGAAAGATGTTAAAATCTAGTTGTATGTCAGTACTAGGGAATGATCATTTCAACATTGTCAGCAAGAGGACTATGATTGAGATAAGGAGAAACTTCTCAGAGTTGTTGGAATGCACTGACTGGGAGATTGTTGGGCAAATTCCACAGGAGGTTTCAAAAGAGAGCTGGATATATAGAACATAGAACAATATAGCACAGGAACGGACCCATCGGCCCACAATGTTGTGCCAAACATGACGCCAAATTAAACTAATCCTTTCTGCCTGCCCTTGGTCCATGTCCTCCTTCCCTCAGCCTCTGCCTCTCCAGAGAAAACAACCCGAGCTTTTCTCGCCTTTGCTGATCGTTCATACCCTCAAATGCAGGCAGCATCCTGGTGAACCTCTTCTGCACCCTCACCAAAGCCTCCACATCCTGTAATTTGACCAGAGTTGAACACAATACTCTTAAGTGTGTCCTAACCAATAAAGACAAGTGTGCTATATGCCTTACTTACCACCCTATCTCCTTGCGTGACCCCTTTGAGGGAGCTATGGACTTGAACCCCAAGATTCATCTGTGCATCAGGTGCTGTTCGGATTCCTACCGTTAACTGCATGCTTTTCCTTGATACTTGATCCCTCAAAGTACACTTATCCA